TCCTTTGAGTTATAAATGGATGAATTTTTATCTTTTGATTTGCCAGCTTCTGTATTCTACTGTCATATCCTCATGGGATCAGTTAAGTATGAGGGCATCTGCTAGATTCCTCCACCCAGATCAGGTTCTTTCATTAACATTCTAACATTCCTTTGATTTATTCCTTCCTTAAATACACATTTAGCAGACACTACGTTAGGGATTGAAGAGCTCATTGTGGGCAGAAAGCCATAGTCCCTGCCCTTGTGGCTCTTGCCATCTATAGAGAAAGTTGATACCACTCATGCATACACATCTAGGAATGGACTACCTACTCCTTACACACTTCTGGAAGTCCTGTGAATGAAAAGGCCAGTTGTATGTGTGATGCAGGGAGACCTACTGGGTCACTGAAAGGTTACACAGTGCTTTGTACAAATTAGAAAAGCCCATGTCTGTGGGTGGGCAGATTTAAGATAACCTCCAGGTGTATGCAGACCTGTGGGCACAGTGTTGGGTACATGGATAGAGCCATTTTCTAATTTACACAGAGGAGTCTTGTTTCCAATTGGACACAGCCCAGCAGCAGAGTACAGGACTTGGCCAGCAGAACAGCTTCCTCACCCAGCACCTATCCCTGTGGCGTGACTAGAAGCCCTTATTTAGAACAGTCTGCCCAACCAACGCCCCGAGTGACCGTTGACACGGAGGAGTAGGAAGGCCTGAGGTGAGACATGAAGGATAGAAGAGGGTGGTGAGGAAGACCACTCAGAGCCTTCCAGGCAGAGGAAAATGGATAGGAAAGAGTCACCAAAGTAGAGAGAACCTAGGCTACTCCAAGAGCAGAGCCTGGAGAAGGAAAAGAGGGCCAGAGTGGGGAGAACAGGGCAGGATCCCTTGGGACAAGTCCTAAGGGCTGACTGAGGGTGGCCTTGGGCTGGAATTTCATTGTTTTGCTGGATATAAGGGACTGAATTATTTAACTTCCTTTTTTGTATTTATGTATAATCATTCTTTACTTATTTAAATGTAGTTCTATAATACTACTCTTTTCCCAATTAAAAGTACATACAAACTTGGGTTCTCTCTTGCTCTTGTTCTCACTCTGTCTCTTTCTTTGCAAAATGCACATGTGTACCTAAGGCAAGTTCTTGGGTCTGCCTCTGGGAACATGGTTTCTGAGAAATACATGGAATGAAATCACAAAGAAGCTCTGTTCCTTTTCCCAGGACCAACACGCATACAAGCACATAAGCACCCAAAGGAATGTTTTCTCCTGCATACAAAGTCAAAAGAATAAAGCCAGATGTGTTTGTCTATTTTATTTTGGCAGCATTTTGGGTATTTAAAATTTTAGCTCATACTTAAAGTTGACTTTAAAAATTGAGTGAATTAAATGAACATATCATTTATGAGGAAAACAATCAAAATGAATATACTCTTCTCCAGGAAAGTACTTAGACAAGAATTTCAGTAATGTTTTGATGACATTCATAACAATCTCAAATGTTGACCTAGGACATCAGAAATGCGACACTCCAAAGTACTCATGTCATGTGATTGGAAACAGATACCTGCTGCCTCCTCCTTATTGAGTCCCTTATCACTACCCTCTGCTCTCTCCTACCCCTTCTTACCCCTGCAGAAGGTCACCGCAGCTGTAACAAGGTACTCTTGCCTGGGCCTTACATCGGGGTCTATTTCCCTAATACCTGCTGACACCTCCTGGGGCACCTTGGTCTGTGAGCTCACAGAGAGAGAGGGTGCCAGCTGGTGCCAGATAAATCAGGTGCTTTAGGAAGTGAGTGATCTACAAAATTCAACACACACACACACACACACTCTCTCACACACACACACACACACTCACATACTCTGGTTTAGGAGAACGGGCAGGTTAAAGTGACCCTAAAAGAGGAAATGAGCCGTCAAACTATCATGGCTGGCCCAGCTCAGTATTTAGTGAAAACTTCATTTATTCATTCAATTCACGCTCACCATAGACTTGTAAGTGGTGTGCTGTGATTTATTCTTAAATCACAAAAGACTGCCTGTTTACTGTCTGCCTGACTCTAAGCTACACATTTTAAATGAACTCTCATACCTTGTCTTTACAGAATTATGTTTATGGCTTTTCTGCCAATTTACAGAAACGGGCTTAGAAGTCCTTAATAAGTGATAGCTTAGAACCGACCTGTTAATTGGTCTATTATATCTCGTTCATTCACATACTGGATGAATAAGACAAACACCAGTTCAAGAAAGTCAATATAACAAAGGTTTGTAAACTTTAATTTATGGCTCCTCTCCTTCATGTCATAATTTGTAAAATAAAATAGAAATTGTAGGTTCTTATTCATTGATGCAATAGGATTCTTTTAATTTGATGGTTAGAAGATTGTGAAAAATAAAATTTTAAGCTTCTTTTTTTTACTATTTACATGTAGTATAAAGGAAGAAGGGTTTTTGCTCGTGGTTGCGGAGGGGTCAGTCCATGGTAGCTGACTCCAAGATAGGGCCATCATGGTAGAAGGGCATGGTGAAACAAAGCTGGCAACCAAAAAGCAGAGCAGATAAACAGTATTAGAGAAGAAGGGTCCAGGGACCAGATATAGTGCCCAAAGTCATGCCTGCATGACCCACCCAGACACACTTAAAAGTGTGCTTTCCTAATCTGGTAGGCATTTCTTCATCCAGTAGAGTTGACATCACCATCACACTAGCCCTTGTTTTAATTAGTTCTAAATAAATGAATAAATGAACGAATGTCTGTGCCTCTGCTGTGTGGGATCATATACCTCCCCTGTTTTGAGGTTCTCATCTGATGGTTGACTTTGAAAGCATCACAGCACTACATTGTGTCCCTCTATTTGCCTCACCCCTCACTCACCCTGGTCTGACTTCCTGTGGGATCTGTAACTGGACCTCTGATACCCAAGAAGCCAGAGGTGCCAGGCAGAAGCTCCCGTGATCCTTTGCTAGTGTCTGCTGGCCAAAGCCAAGGGCACTGATGTGTATCCACAGCCAGCTGCTGCTACTTTTGTTATAAAAAAGTGCTCCTATTCTGAGGAACTGGGCTCTGATGTGGGAGTGAACACGCATGCCCACACACACACCATCACACACACTATTGTACACATATGCATAAACACCTGCTACCTTTCTATTCCAGACTCCAGGGCCAGGGCAGGCTTCTTGTGCTCCTAAATTATTTACTTTTGGTGAAACCTCACGCTTTGGTTTTATTCTCAATTCATTAGGGGACAGAGGCATCCTGGCACGAGGCTTGACTGAATCAGAAATTGTGAGTAACGGGTTCTGTCCTCCAAAGGAGGCGTTCTTCTGATTTAGCTGAACAAGTCTCTGGCAGGAAAAATAATCTCCCTGGCACAAGATGGTGTTTCATGCAAATTAACAGTGTAGACCGCCCACTGGGCCTCCAGGCCATCTGGACACAATGGCCTCCTGAGGTGAACTCACTGTAGCCCCAGGCAAGGACTCCTGCTAGGGAGAGATAAAGCTGCCCTGCCTCCTTTCTTCTTTGTTCCCAACTATATCCCAATCTGTAAGAAATGGCACCATAATCAGGAATTGCTGTCTTCTCTCCCTCAGACCCCATCAAACACAAGTTGGCAAGCACATGCACGCACACACAGGCACACAGAGGCATTCACGGGTTCACAGTGTAGGTCCTCACAGGGCTTTCTTTGGTTCCTTGGCCAAATGAACTGAAGCAGCAAGCGCAGGATGCAGCTGTGAGGTGATGAGTAGCAGGGACCCTGCAGTGATGCTGACTCGCTCTGGTACAGTCCTGCATGTTAACAGCGATCCAAAAAACGCTGTACTTGCTACCAGAGCAAAGGATAGTCCCGAGCCTCTTCTGAAATAGGAGGCTTTTTGTTCCAGAAAGCTGGTGTCTGGCAGATCCAAGCAGAAGAGGAGCCTGGGGCCTCCCCGTTCAGTCCCCAGGAAGGGAATCAAGGGACTGCCCCTTAAAAACAATACAAGAAGAAAGGAATCTCCTGCCATCATAACTGTTGCGAACACTGCTCACCATTTTTTCAGGGTTGCAGTCACATAACGATTCTAACCAGAGCATCTTAAAAAGTCATCATGTTTTATTTGGAGCCGTTCAGTGTGTTGAGGGAGAATGCAGGAAAGTAGAATCAGACTTACCAAGAGTGGAAGGGCAATATCTGCAGAGTGACTGGGTGCACTGCCACCAGCCAGGGGAAAACCATTCACCATACTCTCTTCCTAAAAACGTGATCCTATTGTTAAGGCAGGTGGCTATAATTTTAAAAGGAGAAAAGCTGAATGAATGACTGTCTTGGCTTAGAGAATCCATTTCTATTTTTTATCCAACTGAATCACTGTGTGATAAAAGCGGCTTGAATATCACAAGACTTACTAACCTTTATGTCATTTCCCCTCCCACTCTGTTCCTGAAATGGCTAGCTTTTTTTCTAGCATTTTTTCTCTTGCTCCAAACAGTATATAGCTTTGCCCATTGGTGAACATTGCATTGACTTAGGAATCATCCTGATTTGTTTGCATGCATGGGAGCTGCCCTGTCCTTCCATCTTTGCACTATCAGATTGGAATTCAGTGTCTGTGTCTTAGCCTCTTGGCTCTCCTGAATATCAATGTGGGGGTCATGAATTAATCATTGTTATTGTTAGAATGTTGGGTCAGCCCGAGAAGCTGTTTGAAACATCATTCCCTTCAAACTTTAATTTTTCATTTAAAAAGTATTTAGATAGATTTTGGTGCTGTTTGATTATCCCCAGAGCCCCTTAGATTAATTTTTTAAAAGTGATTTTGCTTTAACTTAATATACCACTACCAGTAGCTTGGCAATACTACCAGACTGTAGCTGGCGGAGCATTCTAGATTAAATCACTGTGATTGGGTGTGGCTGTTCAGATAGGAAGTGGGGAATTCGGGTGGCACATTACCAGCATGCAGCTGTCCTCAAAAGGCTCCACTGAAATAAACCCTTGTTGTTTATATCATTTCAGATACATCTGTATACACTGTCTCATATATATCCTGTTTTATCGGTTTGGCATTCAAAATGATGAGAGCAAAAGGCTGCTGGCTGCAATGTGGAGGGCCAACTTTCCACGGGCCAGGTTTTTCCAGCCCCATTTCCTGTCTCCTCCTCCTTCCCACTTCCCATTATTTCATGAGCATCCTTACAGTAGAAATCACCTTAGCTTTCTGTTTTCCGCTCCCACAAACTCCCTCTCACATCTGTCCCAACACTGCCTAGTGAGAAGCCTTTATTGTGTATGCCATGGAATATAACATCTTTAGTATTCCCTCAGTAAACTGCTCTTATGATTTCTGTGGCCTCCATTTGTGTGAATAATGACTGCTGATGTCACTCACAAGACTTTCAGACATTTGATCCTGGCAAGATGACAAAGGGTGCATTCTTTCCTTTATTTCCGAGGATAGTTGCTAGGGCTGTTTTTTAAATGCCCATTTTATGTGACAGGAATTTCCAAGTTAAAGAAAATGTACATAAACTGTTATGTCATGAATAAAAGCATCTAGGAAGATCTTTACGGGCTAACCTACCCCTCTTCAGCACCCCAGACACAATGTCCATTGGCTGCTTGACCACATTTCTGGTGAGGGGGAGGAGAGCTGTCGTCCCCCACCACCCCAGGGGGCGCTGGGCATCTGAGCACAGATCCTTTACATGAACTTAGGCCAGGTACTTCAGCTCTCCACTTCTTCCTCTGAAATGGTGTTGGTAGTAACAGCAGTGCTTCCTCATGGAGTTATTGACAGGGTTACATCTGTTATACAAGCCAAGCCCTTTGGACTACACTGGCAAGCGTCACGTGCTCACTCACTGCTAGCTGCTAATGCTGGCTCTGTAGGTGGGATCATGGAGTGGAAGAGAGAGGCGGGGTCCGAGTCATGCTGCAGGCTAAGAGTCCAGAATGTGCCAATACCTATCCCTCTGAACATGAAAATTAAGTCAACTTAGTATTTTCTGAGTTTAAGTTTCCTTCTCTATAAAATGTAGTTAAAGCATTTGTCCTCAACATCTACTTACTATTGCAGGCAGTAAGAAAAATGCCCCGTTATTTAAAGAGTTAACAAGGATTCATGTAAGGTGGCTGCTATAAGGTAGACATGCCTCAAACAATCATGATTAGTCCCATTTTCCTTTTACTTGAAGAGGCCAAAAAAGGAGAATATGCTTGTTTTGCCTTGGGAGATAATATAGTGCTATGCTTGTCACATTAGTGTTTAGTGGATATTAGATTATTTGGAAGGTAGTTCAGGCTTATGGCTTCCAGGAACCAGAAAAAGGACCCTGTAAGCTTTTTATAAAGGTACAGATTGAAAACCTTACATTATCATGCCAGACTGAATCAGATGATATGTGTAAAATTTGATAGCAAAACTATGCTGGTTCATGTGAGCCAGGAGAAAAAGCACATCAGAATCTTTTTAAGACCCTGTTAGGTGTCCTTTCTGAAGATAAAGGAAAGGGATAGGAGCGTCCAGTCTCCTTGGAGCCACTGACTCCAAGCACTCCAGACAGGCATGTCACGAGTCCCTCAAGAAGCAAGCTTTCCACACCGTGAGTGGAGGCCAGCTTGGGCTACATAAGTGAGTTCAAGGCCAGCCCACACTACGTGGCAAGACCTTGTCTCCAAAAAGCAAAAAAAAAAAAGGCTTTCCAGAATTCCCCAGTGTAATAGACATGATCTCTGGCTTACCACCTCAGAAAGATACCAGCCCCTGACAGAGATACCCCTATGAAATTAATTCTTCACTTTCACCTTAAATGATTATTTTATCGTGGACTAATGAGATAATGATTAGTGAAAATTGCCTGTTTTAATGAATAGATAGGAATTACTTTAAATTAGTGTTCCAATTATCTATATGCACATGACAATCTCTCTTGTGCTTAAGGGCCTTTTTGAAAACAATTTGTTTTCTTAATTCTGCTAATCTTTGCCTAAGCACTCTTGTTTACAATGTTGCTTGTGTTCTCTATGAGAACGCTTTTGCTAAATAGAGGTACCTTTCAAGCCTTTGTAGAATAATCCGATTTTAGTGGCCATCACCTAGACAAAGGCATTTTCCATATTAAGAATAAATTGTAGTGGTGACTTTACGTAGCCCAAAGTGAGCCTACCGGTGCTAGAGTGAGAAGCACATTGATGTGCTTCAGAGCTGGTTCTCTCACCCAACCCTCTGCCTGCCTCAGAAACATAATCACACCCTCCTCCCCAGTTGTATGGCTGCAAGGCCTGCACTTGGCCAAACCACCCTGAACAGGGCCACGGGTTTTTTTCTAGCTGGTATAATCCAGGTAGATGTTACCTGCAGGACAGCATGCATTCATTGACAAGATGAAGGTCAAAAGATATAAATCAGTTAAAATGCATGGCCAAGTCACAATTTGCCCGCACACTTCACTCAAAGTATTTGATCTCCTAAATCTGAAAAGTAACTTTTCATTCAAAAGTCTGACTTTGTGGAGTAGATATGGTTTCAGGGTATCATTAAATTTGATCCTTTGGTGTCCCTTCCCCTGTTTTCTTTTTACTAAAATAATCTAGAGGGGCTGGGGATTTAGCTCAGCGGCAAAGCACCTGCCTGGCAAGTGCAAGGTCGTGAGTTCGGTTCCCGGTACCGGAGAAAAACCAAAAAAAAACAAAACAAAACAAAAATAAAATAATCTAGAGCCAGGCATGGTGGCACACGTATAATCCTAGCTACTCAGGAGGATGGTAACCTTGAGGCTAGCGTGGACAGCTTAGCGAGACCCAGTCTCAAAATAAAATATAAAAGACTAGAGATGTAGCTCAGTGGAAGAACTCCTTGGTTCAGTCCCCCATGCTATCACCAAAGGGGGGAAAAGCAGTTTCATCATTAACAAATGAGAAAGGACCTATGTGTTGTGTATGCTGCTGAGGGCTGTTTCTAAGCACAAAGTGAATGGTTCCAGAATACAAGCACATGGTACAGTTCACGTGGTTTCATGGATAGCAGGAAAACCCATTTAGCCTCATATTCTAAAAACTGTCAGATCCTCTCATCATAAGCAAAAATGATCTTACACTTGAGAACAGAAGGGAAAAAACATTTAGCTGAGTAATTTTCAAGGTGGGTAACGTTTCTAATAACAAAATGGCGTTGACTGTTCCTTTCCACCTTTAACCACAATAATATCATGACAGCTCTGCCTACACCCTAGGAAGCTCCCATAAACTTGGATCAGCTCCATATAGATTAGCTCACATTTCTGTCTGAGCAGGTTATCAATCAGCACATTCTCACTGGGTTCCTTTTGCCTAGCAGCTGCATAAAATTTCAAAGCAACATAGAAAGGCACCGCCTTGTGTTTTAAGTTCTTTACCCCATGTGGGAGAAGCAGTGGATGGAGCAGTCACAGAATAATTAGGGTAACGTAGAGCTAGCTCCTTGTCGTTTGTCTACACAGTGTCTTTCAGCACGAATGATTCTTCATCTCCTACTTAGAAACATGTACTAAAGTGCTGAAAATTTATAACTGCTGGAATTAATTATCTTTATTCATTCAAAAAAGTAAACATTTACTGCACTACTAATTATTTTGTGTAGAACTAGGTGGAGCTCTACAACAAATAAGTTTTTAAGCTTGGTTTCATTGTTTATCTTTTTTCTCTTTAAAATAAAAAAAAATAATTTTTAAAAAACTAATGAAAATACCCAGAAAGGAGAAGCATTTTCATCTGTGTTTAATTCCCTATTGAATGGTCTTTGGGGTTGTATCACATGCCTTGGCTTTCTAAGTCCTTAACTACATCACATTTCCTATTCTATATGGAACCTACGTGGTAAAATTGTGTCAGTTTACCATAAGCATGGCTGTGCTTCCTAACCTCCCTAATCTTATATATTATTTCCTGCATTGTGATTTATTAACAAGTATTTAGGTAATACAGCTTAATTGTGGAGTAAGAGTTAGGAGTCCTGATTGCTGGTGATTTGGTTCCACTAATTTGATTTCATTCTTCTTTTATGTCACACATTCTGTTAACTGCTGGGACATACAAGTCTTCAAGCCATCAATAATGCAGTGCAGCAGAGACAGTGCCACCTTCTCTGGGTTTAACACCCACCTTTCATTATCTTTTAATTAAGTTCTTGGACATGCAAGTAGAAAAAGAAAACAATGGATGATTCATGCTTTTGCATGAATAAGCATTAACTGTAAATATAATAAATATATTTTAAAATCTCTTCTGCAGTAAAATATAGTGTTGGTTAACAGTTACCAGATTGAGGTTAAACAATTTTTAATTAAAAATTATAAGGTCACCCTACCCCAGTGCAACTCAACATCAAATTGACAAACCCCTAAAATTGTTCAATAGCACCCCCTAGCATACATAATTTTAGGCTATCAGAGTAGGAAGCAATTCTGTCTGTCATTTGTCTCTAAAGCATATTTTCTTTACATGTCCAGTTACATGGACTTGTTCTTGTTGAATCAAGTGTCTGAAAGAATTTATGAACAGAGGATAGTATAATCCAACAAAATAACTTTTTGTGAATATCTTCAAAATAATTTTGCTTTAACTCTGGCTGTTTGTATCCATTGCCTCTGCTTTGATAGATTGGCTTAAGGAGTTGTTCCTTCTTTCTCCCTTCTCTTCCCTCTTTTCCCCTCCCCTCCCCTCCCCTCCCCTCCCTGTCCTCCTGTCTTCCTGTCTTTCTGTCTTTCTTTCTTCCCGGGGTTGAGTAAGTCATCTAGGAAAGAGAAGAAAAACCCAAGCTGGGGAAGTTCCTAAAGCAAGCTGAGGACACCTTCAAGGTAGATCTATGTGTGTTTGGTGAGCATCTAGGACACAGTTTCTGACTTTGTGATCCTGGGCAGGATCTTTTACCATTCTGTGACTTAGTTTCCTCTTTTATAAGAAGGATTAGTAGAAATAGTACCTGTCTCATGGAGCTGTTGCAGTCAATGAATTGCACATAGTGAATTCCCAGTGATGGTTGGCAGTCATTGTTAACATTATTTCACCCCCCCCCCATCCTTGGGTGTGGTTGTGATCTATATCTTGGGTTCTGTCATTAGCTGAGTTCAAACCCTCTGAAAGATATTGGTCCA